TAATTGTATGCGTTTTTGTTAATCGAAACTATATCTATATATGTTATAGCAGCTGAAATTTCTGCCTTGGCAAAGAAGCGTCTAGCTGTATTTCCATCATTTGTATTGCCAAATCCTGGTTTTGGTTTATCAATAATCAAACCACACTGTTCTCGAAATTCTTTCTGAATTCGAGCTTTATTGTTTGCAACAATTTCTTTATTATTTCTACGAGCTTGCCACTTCTTGATTGGTAGTTTATAAGCCAAGTGCAAAATGCATTTGAACATTCGAATCCACCCATGTAGCACAGATAAGCCAAATCCCAAGTTTTCAGTTTTGATACTCCTCTGAACCATTTGCTCAATATCATTAAATTGCTTTGAGGTTGCACCACATATAAAGCCTCTTTGCGTAAAAGTAGTTTCTGTCAGAGCATTACATACTTTGCCATCTACCACACAAAAAATTAAAGTGTGAAATACTTCTGCTTGTATTTCTTCGATTATGCACTTTGTCTTGACAATTCTTTTTATTTGCTCATTTACTCTATTCTTCTCAGCAATTGATTCTATTTTAGACCAAACAATTTTTCTACCAGAAACAAGACGAAGAGGGACGATACATGTTAGAAAAACAGCTGAATCACTGGCTTCGGAACTACAGCCTGAAGAACCATCAAACCCCCATTTCTAAATTAATTGAAGCTAATTTAATTCTTCATTCTAACCTTTTTGTATGAGGGAAACCTTTCAGGTACAATTTTTCTTAAAACATCATATTGATATCTAGATAGTTCCACCAAAACACTTAAAGCATCTTCACGTGACATTTTTTTTTGTAGTTCAAGTATTTTCTTATATGCTTCTCTATATTTATTTGCACGTTTGGGACTTTCTGTAGCTTCTTTTAATAGTTTTGATGCATCTAAGATTTCCTTCTGTTCTTAAACTTATTTTAGTAGCACAAGTCAAAACAGATAGAAAATGAGTCTCGCTTTTGATTTCCTTCGAATCGTTCGTTCACAAAAATTTGAAGTATTATACTTCTTTTCGTTGCCGCATGTTTTGCTCACTGTATGCTGATTTAAACAAATGGAAATGTTTAACCAAAGCTTATTGTTTTTTTTGAAAAACCTCATACATCCTGTGTGATTTTATCCAACGAGATTTATACTGTGACATAAATAAAGGCAGTGACTGACTTAACGCATTTAAATGTTTTTTTTCGCATTCTTTGTAAGATTTTTAATTTCTTCATTCAAAAAATGAAATTGTTCGTTCATTTTAATAAACCCAGAACCTCTCATTATAACGACAAGTTTACTTCTTTTAAAAAACATAACGTTATTACTTTAAACCGAAATCATATAAAAAAGTTTTGAGATTAATCTAAAAAACAATTACGCATGCTCAAAAATGCAATGGAAAAAAACGTCATTAGTTTGAACCTGGTTTTGTTACCTGGTTTCTACTGATGTAAATGACACATTTCCTCTGTTACACAAAAAAACGCTCAAAATGTACAAAAAAAAAAAAAGTTTGACAATTTATAATCATGAGCCATTCCATAAAAAAAAAATCTCAGATTTATCTAGGTGAATACCAAACAAAAATAAAAAACAAAAAGTGCATTGTTTAAAAAAATTACATAAAAATGAAATATTTAAAACGCTATTTTTGTAAAGGCATAATAATATATAGTGCAAGCACTTAAATAATATTTCATTATTACCAAAAGATAGCAACAAGCCTAAAATTAAAGAATATCTAATAAAAAATTCATAACATTTGACAAACTTCTCATAAGCACTATATAAACAAAGTGGTACTTTTAACTCGTGCGAGTCATTTTTTATGGCTAAAATATGGGTTCCACAGGGTTAAAGGTCAGTCTAAACCTAAAAAAAACGTGCATAAGATGGACCAGAGACTCTTTTATACATTTCTACTAAAAAAAAATTCATAACACCTTATTTCATTTTTGTCAAATATCTAATTTTGAAGCAATTCTGCCCCACTGTGAGTCGTTTTCAAATCGCGTTAAAGGTTAAAAAAACCCAAAATTAATTTTTTTACAAAATAATTTGATTTAAAATCTGAAAAAAAATTCACGTTATTGCATAAATATTTTTGATTAACTATAAAAAATTTCATAAAAATTATTAGTTTCAGAAAGGTTTAAAAAGAGTTTCTCTATAAAAATAGGTCTAATTGTGAATTAGTTATTTTATGGAAAAAGAAAACAGACAAACAGTTCATGTTTGTAAAGACACTTTTCTAAAATGCTTAAAGGTTGGTAAAACTCGTTTTAAAAATATTGCTAAACATTTTTTTTAAAACGGAAAACCAAGAAAACAAAGCAAGGTGGTGATAAGCCACAAATTCAGTGATAAGCGTAATGCTGTGATAGAATTTATAAAGAATCTTTTGGAAGGGAGAGCCATTACAGCAAAAACAAATCAAGGAAACTGTATCTGCCATCAGAGCTAAAAAGCATTGAGCTTTTTAGCTCTGATATTATAGAAGATGATATTATAAAAAATAATAAACAGAATTAATACTTTACAGAGTATAGACCACATTGATTTGTTGGTAGAATTTGCAGCTTAATACCATCTAAATTTATTGCTAGCGGAACAAGAGTTTCTCCACTATTAGCTCAAACTTCCTGTTTTAATTTTTTATACTGAAATCTTTCAGGTGTAACTTAAGCATTTAGCCCAGCATCATTTCTATTTTCTATATTATCTTGAATTCTAAAAGAACGATTTGTTTGCATTGGTCAAGGCCGGCGCGATAGAGGGGTGTGTGGGGGAGGGGGTGACCCCCTCCCCCCCGTCAATGATTTTTAGTCGGCAAATGCCAACCCTTTCAAAATAGTTTAGTCGGTAATTTAGACAGCTAGTCGGCAAATGTCGTCATGGCAGTCGGCAAATTTTCGAAAACGAGGACACGTGACACCTACTTGCGCCGGCCCACAGTGAGCCAGAAACATGAAAAAGTGATCAAAATTAATAACTACATATAAAATCAATTTAACAATATTAACATTATAAAATCAATTTAACAATAATTCTATTTACTAAAACATAATATTACAACCATTTTAATTTTCTTCAGGTTACTCACTTTCAAAAAAAATTAAAAATTTAATTAAATTGTTAAAGGTTGGTTTTGCTCATTTTTTTAATTTTTGCTCACTGCTGGCCCACTGTGCGGCCCTGGTATTGATACTACTTTTATTGGAACGTTTGATATTGCTACGTAGCAGCGCAAATGGGTAAGGTCAGGATTAATAATTTTTAACAAAGCTAAAAGTGAATTTTTTGATACATTATAAAACAAGTTTGTCTTGTAATGAAAGCCGATCTAAGTTAGAGTTTCCGTCATCATCTTGAATTGTCTAAACTTTAGAAAAAATCTTGATCATTGGAAAAATTAAAGTTCTTTAAAAACTTGTCAGTATTTTCATAGTGAGTTGCCTCATTTGTAAAATCAATTATGGTATTGTCTCTTTGATATATAGAAGGTAAATCTGCAGACCAGTCAAAAGGCGTATTATCTCCTATAAGTAAAACAGGATTATAAAAATTGCGGACTAATATAATAAGTAAAACAGCCCATTATAAAAATTGCGGACTAATTATTTAAGATCATTTAAAAAGAGTTAAAGAAAAAAGAGTATTTATTGTATTGTTGTTTTTAATGTCAGGTACAATAATGCTAACTTGTTCAAGTATAACCTTATAAATAAGTTTAAATAATAAACTTTATTTAATTATTGGGGGTTATATTTATAACTATATGCCTTTTAAATCATACTACTTTATTTATATATAATATTTATACATTACTTTAGATCATATTACTTTAAAAATCTGGGACACAGAGTCTTTATTCCTAATAACACTGTTGTACTCCAGGTTTAAAATTGAAATGTTTTTGTAAATCTCCTGTTTTTGTTTCTCAATGTAGTTCATAAGTCTCTTAAGTCTTAAGAACCTTATGAAATCATAAGTTAAGAGTTTTAGAGAAAAATTTACAGAATCCTCTTCCTCCCTATTTTATACTTAACTTTAATTTAGGGTTTGGCTCTCCTAAAACGTTTATGCCGTGTGACCGTATATTTTGAACTTTTGAAATAAAGTTTATAAAAACTGAAAGAATATATTCTCCTATAATGTTTACAGTACTCAAGAAGATGTAAAAATTGCTGGAATAAACTAGAATGTATTTGATTTCAAATCATTATGTAAAAGAGTCTTTAAAAAGCCATTGCCCATCTAAGTTCAGGAAAATAAACACTTTTTTATTATAAGAGGATCAGCTAAAAGTATTAAAGTTCAAGCGGAACCTAATTTTAACTTTTTGCTGAATAGTCCTCAGATTATAATTAAAAGAGTCCATAATTGTTTGTCTTCTCCCTCTCAGATTCAAAAAGGAGTCGCAGTAGCAGAGGCTTAAAAAAAAGATATCAAAAGCTTAATGCATGTGCATGCAGATGCATAAAGCTTTTGATGTCTGTAGTGAACTGGAAGCATGATAATCGTTTTGATTTTTTAAAAAGTATAATTAACAACCATTTTGCAAATGGGTTCCTCATATGTTATAATAAGTTTTTAAATGTCACTTGCGTAACAATACTGGAAATGGAGACACCATTGAACTGCCAGCCTATTTATATTAACCAATCTTTTTGTAATCTGAACACAAATTTTAATTTATGATTTATATAAAAATGCAATTTTTTTTTACTTGGATTAATTTGTAATTTTGAAGGTAAAGTAAGTTACAGATATTTAAACTTGTTGTAACAAGTTTAAATATTTGTAACTTACTTTACCTTTTTCTTTTTTTTAATTTATTTAAATATTTTACTAGTGGCACAATGTTTACTTCGCCACTAGTTGAAATGGTACTTGTAAATAAGATGCCATAAGCCAATCAGGTAAAGTTAGTTAATTACGTTGTGCTGAAAATGTGCTCTTCAGGGTGTTTTCGAATGAGTGCTTCCAAAAATTTTCTTTCAAAATTTAATCGACTAACATCAGTTCAAGTAGAAAAAAATTACAAGAGAAACAATTTTTTCTCAAAATGAAGTTTATATTTAGCTTTCTTGCATTGTTATTTTGCATATTCAAAATTGACGGAGTTTTCGCAATTGAGATATTAGAAAACAAAACTGCGTTTGACAACTTTTTAAAAACATCTAAACTCGCCGTCGTAGAATTTAGCGCAACTTACTGTGAAGCATGTAAGTACCTCGAACCACAACTGGAGGTGAGAGTTTTTTTAAAAAAAAGCGTCATGTAAATTAGTATATATATATATACATATATATATATATATATATATATATATATATATATATATATATATATATATATATATATATATATATATATATATATATATATATATATATTGTATATATATATATAGATATATATTGTTCAAGTTGTGTTTTTGTTTTACTCAAAAAAATAAAACCAGTTTATCATCTTGTATTATCTCTAAATATTTTATTTACAGAATTTAGCTAAAAGTCATGGAAAAATAAAATTTGCAAAGATTGATGTACCGTCTAATCAACAGTTAGCAAATGAACAAGGTGCCAACTCAATGCCTACTGTTATTTGCTACACAAATGGGAAAAAATGGCACACACATGTTGGAGCAGACATTGTTCCACTGCAACAAAAAGTTGAAATGATGAATAAAATAGCTTAGATAAAAAGAAACTTAAGAAAGAAGAAAGAATGTATTTGTCTTTTAGTAAAAAAAAATAACTTTCTAATTTTCTTTATTCAATAACAACTTTCATTATTTTAAGAAATATACTAAAAAATGAGCGACAATAAGGCAGCAAAACTTAACAACGAGAGGTCACAAAATCGTTGGATCTAAACGATTTACAAAACATGAAAGAAGTCTTTACATAACAAAAAGCAGTGCCAGATTAAGGAAAACTAAGTCCTATGCACTAAAAATTTAAAGAGCTTATTTTTTTTAATTTTTCTTAAAGATTGCTGAGTATTTAAGGACGTGAATTCATAAATATATATATTTAACAATGCACCCATATCTTTTCATCATCACCCTTAATTTTTTTCCTGAATCCAAAAGTTTGCATTTTTTTTGTAAAAAAAGATTTTTTTTCATAATTTTTCTTTATATCAAAACTTGTGACGTGTTTTATGGTTTATCTGAACAAACTTACTGGAAAGAGGTTGTCTTTTTAAAAAAAAAAAAAAAAAAAAAATTTAATTCTTTTTTAAAAAAATTCTCTTTCCAGTAAGTTTGGTCAGAAAAATTTGTCTAATTTTTACGTGTTGTTAAAGTTTTTATCATGAATTTATATAAATTCATAATAAAAACTTTAACAACACGTAAAAATTAGTCTTACAAATTTAAGTCTGATTAAACAAAATAAAATAATTTACAAAAATAAAATGAAGTTAAATGTATACATAAAAGTTTTTACAGAACGTAAAGATCAGACTTACAAATTCTAATTCTAATTAAAAATTTTTATTAAGGTATTTATTGCGAAAGAGCATTTATTAGAATGTTTGCATTTTCCTCCTTACCATTCGCGCAAAGTGTACCAGAGCTGCAATTTATAAAGTCAAAAAAAAAATACAAATCAAGAAAGACAATAACGATATTATTGTTATATATATATATATATATATATATATATATATATATATATATATATATATATATATATATATATATATATATATTTATATATATATATATATATATATATATATATATATATATATATATATATATATATATATATATATATATATATATATATATATATATATATATATATATATATATATATATATATATATATATATATATATATATATATATATATATATGTATATATATATATATATATATATATATATATATATATATATATATATATATATATATATATATATATATATATATATATATATATATATATATATATATATAATTATATTTAGATGAATAAAAACAACTGATTAGCGGGACTTAAAGTTTCATGCCCGAAGGCAATCATCAGCCGTTAATACAAACAAAAAACGTAAACAAACCGTTACAAAAACGTAAAAATTACTGTAGAATGACATCTGACGTTATAAACAAATCTACGTAAAAAACAAATCAAAAAACAAAAAACAAAAAGCCGTTATAGTTTATTAGTCCCCTGTGTCAAATAAAGATAATAGGAACTTTTTTGAATGCCGACACTGAGATACGATTTCGTTTTTTTTTATTTAGTAGATTTTTTCCATTATGCGATAAAATTACATATTTTTCGTAGAGACAAAGGTGGCATATTTTTGTTGCTAGATTGTAAGGTTTACAACGTTTGACAATTTTCCATTCTATAATAGGCTTTATGTTTTGGTCTTTTAAACTCCATATTTCCTTAGATAGTTCTGTATCATTTCTATATTTAATTGATGCAAATGATTTGAAATGGTTTGCGTATCTTAGTTTAAATGGTGTATTACTAATGCCAAAATATACTTTTTTATTACGATCATGATGACTGGAACCTACGGTTGCTTGATAGACAATATTGTTAGATAAACATTGATTGTTCAAAGGGCAAAATGCTTTATCTACGTATATATATATATATATATATATATATATATATATATATATATATATATATATATATATATATATATATATATATACATATATATATATATATATATATATGTATATATATATATATATATATATATATATATATATATATATATATATATATATATATATATATATATATATATATATATATATATATATGTATATATATATATATATGTGTGTGTGTGTGTGTGTGTGTGTGTGTGTGTGTGTGTGTGTGTGTGTTTCAAAAAGTACCCAAATGTTACCCTGGGCTGGTGTTTTTTATAGTCTTTATATATGACTATAAAATAACACCAGCCTAGGGTAACATTTGGGCATTTTAAGTTTTTCTCAAAGATATCTCTTGTGCAACATCTAGCAGTTAATATAAGTATAAGCTACATGCCTTTAAATTGGACAGAAACAATTATATTTAAACATTAAATATTTATATAAAGTATAAATGAAAACAAAAAAGCACAGCAAGCATACATGCTTGTTGTGCTTTTTTGTTTTATTTACATACAGTTTACTTAAGTAAATACCTCCATAATTTAGAACAAATGCTTACTTTAAATTTACTTGAGGAAATACCTCCATATAACTAAAACAAATGTTCTTCGATCTATATAAAGTAAAATAAAAAATGAAAATAAAATACAACACTTTTTATATTGTACAAAATATTTTTTGTTCTTTAAAATTAAAACAATAACTAAATTGGTAGGTAGGTATCATCTTTATATATATTTTTAATATTTAAATATAACTGTTTCTGTCAGATTTAAAGACACGTAGCTTATACATATATTAAGTGCTAGATGTTGCACAAGAGACATCACATTTAACTTTTTTTCGTTTCTGGGGCGCATTTAGGGTATTTCTGACTGCTATAACATCTGTTTATTCTGAGTCAGGACAAATTCTTTTTCATAGTGGAACATTTAATTTCTTTTTGTGCTTTAATATTGAAGGTCTAAGGTCTGCACGAGTGTCATTTAAATGACTCATAGATTTAAAAATAAGACTAAAAATAAATTAACAGATTTCTACCTGAAAGCGATTCTTTCCACAAAGCCAAAACGGTTTTACAACCAATTTTTAATGGCCTAAAATAACATAATTTTAATATAATAGCCCAGCAAACATGTTATAGCGGAATTTCAATGGGCCTACATAGGCTTTTTGAGGGGACCGTAGTAGTTTTGCCCATCGGTAACTTAGTGGACCATTAGTAGCAGCCGCTAAAAATGGCTTGCTGATAATTAACCACCATTAAAATGTTGGAAAACTATCGGCTTGCCATTTATAGCGGCTGTCACTACAGGTTCACTAAGTAACCGATGAGCAAAACTCCAATAAACCGCTATATAGATCCACTGCGAATTCACTAAAGCAATGTTTGCTGGGAGGCAACATCTAGAAGCTAGTGTCAAATATGATGAGTTAGGTGGTAAATACACAAATACTATCTTACTTACTTGACACATTTTAAAAACATTTTGACTGATGATTTATTACTTTTTTAGGGTATTTACAGCCTCTACGACATATATTTTTTTGCGGCCGGGGTAATCACTTAGGTTTGTTTCTTTATAGTTGTATATATTCTCTGCTGGCACATTTGTAATAACTTAGGTGAGGTTTTCAATAAACTCGCTGAAGATTTTTTTGTTAACAGGATTCCAATAGCGTTTTATATTGGTTGTCAAACGCAAAGTGAGAATGTCTTTTTAAAATAGTTTACTCCATTCTTCCCTTAGAAAATTATTTCTAAATTAAGGAATAGTTTTGCTTGGGAAGAAAGGTAATCCTGCACAATAAACCTAAAATCAAATTCATCCACAGGAAATCCAAACTCAGATACTGCTAAGATGTGAAAAACAAAAACAAAGCAGTAAATGTTGTACTCTGCAGAAAAACTCCGTTGTCAGACTTTATGAGACTTTTTTCGTGGTTATGTTACGGAAAAATCCGTTTTTAATAAATTACGGCCATTTACCTATATTTTTAAGACTTTTGAGATAATCACATCACTTTACATGATTTTGTCCGTATTTACAATAAGTTACAATACAATACATAATATAATAATTTATACAATACAATACTTAATACAATACTTTATACAATACTAAATATAATACTTTATATAATACTATATTTGATACAAATATAATACTTTATTCTAAATTTTAGTACAAATTATTAAATAAAAAACTTTATAAATTATTTGCATAATTAAGTTATACTATACGAATAAAATTTGATTATTATGTTTTCAAATTAATTGTGTTAATAAAATATCCTTAAAATAAACTAAATAAAAGTTGATATTAACAACAAGCTAACAATATGCAGCAAAAAAAAAAAATTCTCAATGATGGTATAATATATTTCTTAAAAAGTTAATATATCTTGTATTTTTTTTTATATATAACTAATGGCGGCTTTAAGCTTGACTTTGTATTAAGTTCGATTCTTTTTATATTTGATTTATGACATTATGTAGAAATAATTTTTTTTTGTGTAATATTTTTATGCAAACCCCTCAAATTGAAGGGGGTTCAAACTTTGTATCAAACTTTAAAAATTTTTGAACACTAAAATATTTTACTATGAAATTTAAAATTTCTCGATAAATATAAGGGGTCGTCCATAAATTACGTCACGCAATTTTTGAGCGTTTTCGAACTCCCCCCACCTTGTCACAAAATCGTATCACTTAAGAAGCGAGTTTTGAATGAGTCGTCACAAAACCACCAACCTCCCTTCCCCCTTATAGCGTGACGCAATTTATGGACGACCCCTAAGTCTAGTTGAAAATAGTACAAAAAATATTTCATCAACTTGTTGCTCTCACGTTTGAGGCAGGGGCTAAGATTTTAGGGTTTCTTGTTCCCACTCTCTTATCATAGTAATTTCTTTTTTAAAGAATCTTTTCGTCATATATATATATATATATATATATATATATATATATATATATATATATATATATATATATATATATATATATATATATAAATATATATATATATATATATATATATATATATATATATATATATATATATATATATATATATATATATATATATATATATATATATATATATATATATATATATATATATATATATATATATTAGGGTGTGTCAATTTTTGATTTTTTTCGAGAAAAAAATTGGGGAGTTACTAAAAGTTGCAAAATTTGACGGAGAATCCAAATATGTTTTTAAAAATTGAATTAAAAAATTTTTTGCTTAGGTGATTTAACTTTTTATATTTCAATAAAATTTTGACCTGGTTTCTCAAAAAAACCCGGTTTTTATTTGGAAATTAATAAGCTTTTTTTCTACTTTGTTTGATAAATATCAGTTCAAATATAAATGTTGATTAAAACTAATTTTAGATATTATAGTACTTTCTTTAAGAATTTGTATAAAATATAAATCAAATATTTCTTATTTCAAAATTAAACTTTGAAATTAATTTTTAATATGCATATTAATTTAAAACTGAAATTAGATTGAGATTAATTTATACATATTAAAATATTTTTCAATGTATTTTAAATACAGTTTGCCTTAACATCGGGTAATAATTTTATTGGTATTGATGCTAGAAATACAGCAAGATATTAAAAAAAAAACCCGAATTATTTCAATAAATATTATAAATTTAATACAAAAACATTTGTGTCAAACTTTCAAGGTCTTGCTTACTATTATTTTTAGGCATTAACTTTCTACTCGCCTCTTGAGTTCGGACAAATCCTTCTCTCTTTTCATGAGTGTACACTCTACTTGAAGCTTCTGTAACTTGCTTTACGCAACGTTCAACAGATTGTCCGTGACATGGCCAAATCGGCACCTGCATAGGATTTGATAAAAACACATTAATTTCAGAAGTTGTTAGAGAGGTAGTTAAGACTGGTTCATAAACCAGTGACTCCCATGATATTAAATCTACCAATTTTTCAGCATTAAAATTCAGAAAGAGAGGAATCACCTTTTTGTAGATCTTCATTTCCAGTACCTCTAATATCTTTCATCTTATTTATAGCTACACTTCTATCCTCTTCAGTATTAGAACACAACAATGTTTGTAGTATACACTCACTGAAACAAAACCAAGCTGATCTTTGAATAGAGGGTGATACTATTTTATTGACATCTTCTTTTTGAAATTTAAGCAGTTGAAGGTCCTAAACATGTACTTTACCAACTGCAGTAAATTTGCTGCAGTTGGTAAAGTACATGTTTAGGACCTTCAATCCAAGAATGTTCAACTTTAATCTTAAACCAACAAGGAAAATAAACACCTACAATGTACTCGGTGATAGATCTTAAATTTTCTAAATCTTTACCTTGAATTCCATGTTTAGAGATCCATATTCTACATATTCTGTTAGCAGTAGTTAACCATCTTGAATGTGAAACAGGCCCAATTTGTAATAAATGAAATTTTGGTGGTAAAATACCATTTCTAATGGCACAAACAACTTTATAACCATAAAATTGATCTGCAGACAGGTCATTTATTATTTTATCATAGAGAGAAATAAGTGGATTGCCAGTTTTAATAGTTTCAAATACTGGATTTATATCTAGATTTGTAGCATGATCAAGCATGGAACCAATAACACCAGACCATTTATTGTTTGATTTCGTTTGACCATCTAAATTGGTTATAAGATGTCTCAGTGGTAACTCATTTGTATGGAGTTGACATATAAGCCAAACAAGTTTTTTTCCTAATTTTATTTCTATATGTTTGATGACTCCACCCTCCCAACCGGTGTTTACATTTGTAGAGTCTCCACCAACAGCCAGTAAAGACTTGTCAATACCTCTCTCAGTCAGCCATTCAACAATTTTATTTGCTATAATCTTTGCATGTTTAACACTTTTTGTTGCTTTCTCAGGAGTAAAGTGAAACAAATATTTTTCTCCAGGTTCCATACAAACAGAGTAATGTTCTTCTTTCACTGTTACTGGAAATTTTGCATTTGAGTCATCAAGTTCAATCATTTGCTTGGTTTGATCAATTCTCCCATCAAAAAATATGCATTTCACTTCTCCACTTTTTGCTATTTTGTCAAAATCCTTACTAAGATCAGAGATAACTTTTTCTTGCGCTCTCGAAACTTTACTATGATCAATAATTAACTTTTTATCATCAGATGTTATTAATCCTGCATCAATTAGTGTTGCTGTAGCAATTGCAGCTGTAGCACGTGCAAATACCCCATATCTATGTGAGCAAAATTTACACAGAAATAGAATTACTTTTAAATATATATATATATATATATATATATATATATATATATATATATATATATATATATATATATATATATATATATATATATATATACCTTTATAAGGATAAATACATTACTAAAAAACAAATTTATTTAAAAAGAACTATACCTTACGCTATTCATAGCTATGTGTGAAATTTCTAAGGTATTGTAACATCTTTTTTTTCCTAATGATTTCTCTAGTACTAAAGGTAATTCTACATTAGTAATATCATCAATGTTATCATTTAATTCTATTTCATTACTAAAATCACTTTCTTTTTGAAAGTTTATCTGATCTGACTCAATTTTTTGTTTTTTAGTTAAAATAACATTGCTGTCTTTATTCTCAAAATATTTTTCTCGATCTTTTCTAAGTAATCTTTTGAACTGTTTCCTGGTTTCAATACTATCAGGTAATCCAATTTGAAACTTGCTAACAGTTCCAGTTTTAATTCTTTGAAAATATATAAACTTAACGTCAATAGATGGTATTTTGTACTCTTTGATACATTTGCATTTACAATGAACTTCTTTATCACAATCATCAGAACAAATAAAATCATCACATTTTACAATTGGACATTTGCATACTAGTATATCAAAAAGTTTATAAAGTTTTTCTTTAAATTTTATTATTTGTTTAGCTCCTTTTTTTCTTGGACAAGCTATAGCTGAAGCGTTGTTCCACAAAGTCACTATTTTATCACAAATTGTTTTATCAGTAATTAATTTAGGCGATGTAAATTCCAAATTTGCACTCGACCACTGGTGTAATAAAGCTGGAAGTATATCTTTGGCCATCTCTTTTACAGGATAATTTCTTTTTTTTATGTCTTCGCAGCCCTCTCTTAATAAAATTGCATATCTTATAACATCTCTGTTGGTTGGTAATTCTGAAACTAGAAATTGTTTTCCTGTACCAAATGCAACACTAATTTGCGTACAAGTACTTATTCTGGTTTTGGGTGCCATTATTCCTCCAAGTTATAAAATTTTTAAAGAGAATTTATTATTGTTTAGTAATGAAAAAAAAAAAAAATTTAATATTTTAAGAATGAAAACAATTGATCAAAAGTTCTTAAATTTATATTTAACAATATGCAGTTCGCAGTTGTTTACCAAAGGCGGCAATGAAAAATTAATTTACTGACCATTATTAAGATTAAAAAATTACGTTTGAGTATATATTTTTTTTTATAAAAAGTTATTTTACATATTTAATACAAAAAAATTTTTAAATACTTTATACATATTAAGTTAAATGATTTTTATTTAAACTTAATGTAAATTTGTTTTGTTGTTTAAAAGTCTGTTTTTTTTTTACGTACAGTATTGTCCGGTAACGTCGTTGTTCCGTTTAAAAGGAAATAAAAACCGTTAATACTTTCATAAAAAGGCTAATCACCTAAGTAAATATTTTTCTGATTTAAAAAATTTTAACAGATTTAGATTCTCCGTAAAATTTCGCAACTTTTAGTTATACCCCAAATTTTATTAAACTTTTTTTTCAAAAAAAGTCTAAAATTGACACACCCTAATATATATATATATATATAACAATTTAAGAATTGAAAAAACATAACTTAAAGCAAATCATTCGGGCCACAATCAAACATTTGTAGACATTGAATAATTGATCTAGGATTCCTTAATGTTTGAAACATGGAGCAAACATCAAACATTTTTTTTCACGCTTTTAACGTTCACTTATTTTCACAAATTTTCCATACATACAAGTTTAGGTGTATATTTTTATTATATATTTGTTTTATTTAAGCTTTTTCACTTATCACTCATGCAAAAATTGGAAAAAAAATTGGAAACAACTCAGCTAAAAGCAAAATTAAGAAGAATATAAGGGAAATTATATTCCGGTTTTTTTCCGGATCTTATACCCAAACAATTTTCCGGATATTAAAAATATGCCCTGGATCATTTATGCTTAATACCAGAAAGACATCGTTGGAGTTTTTATTGAGAATAATCTACATACTTTCTGAAGCCCGGTATCCTAGTATACATTCTTGACATTCTCATAAGCTGTAATATAAATCAATCAATATATTTTTATATTGTTAATATAAAAATTTATTTAAAAATGTTGTCATAAAAAATATTGTTATTATAAAAAACCTTGGATTTATTAAAAAAAATTTATGCTCCTATGTGGGCTTTATAAGTTAAAAATAAAATAAGATTGTTGAAAATACTATGCACAATTTCAATTTCAAAACCTTTTATAAATATTTTCAAATAAGTAAATAATATTATAATTCAAGGGAGTAAATAGTATCAATATAATTTTAGCGATTCAATTATACTGACAAATTTTTTTAAATATAGAATATCTTACATATATTGAGAACGATAATCAGCAAATTTCAGATTCTGTTAATTATATTGTGTAGAATATATATATTGTGTAATTATATTGTATATTGTGTATAGAATGTAGAGGAAAAGCAGATACGAAATTTAAATAATAGAGACTGGAAAACTTAAAAACTTAAAAGTCTAGATTTGGCAGGCTATTTGCAGGTATGGAAAAAAATCAGCACCTCATATTTCTGATCAGCACTTCATATTTCGACTTTCTGGTGAAATATATATTTTAAAGAATGTTTACAAAAATATATTTAATGTCTCAATAAATTAAATGATAATGAACCTGTGTTCTAGCCTAATTTAGCTTCAATATATATAGTATACTTGAATTTTATTATAGTATACTTGCATTTTTTTGCAAACAAAACAATAAAACCTTCAACCAAAATTGAGAGGTAATGATCAGTAGTGGGCAACTATTAGAAGAAGAAAAAAGTAACATAAACCTTGTAGAAACCTTGTAGAATTGAAATGTCATTTAAAAAAGCATCAAATTGTTTAATTTTTTTTTTTTTTAAACTTCTTTGAAATATTTTATCTTCTTATGTAAATTTATTATATTTATTACTGTCACAAACCTACTCGAAACTTGCGACATCCTGACTAAAGCTGCCCGCAAAGGTAACCCAACCGATATCATATTCACAGACTTTGCTAAAGCATTCGACAAAGTTTTGTACCGTCGTCTGCTACACAAGCTAAAATCATATGGAGTGTCTGACAACTTGCACGATTGGATCAAAAGCTAGCTAACCAACCGGCTACAACGCGTAACCATTGGTAACAATAAATCTAATTGGAAAACTGTCTCTAGCGGTGTTCCACAAGGATCTGTTCTTGGACCACTCCTGTTCCTTATCTACATTAACGATTTTCCAGACAAAATACAACACCACTTTAAAATGTATGCAGATGACTGTAAATTAATTGGAACTATAGAATCAAACCGTGACATCATTAAACTCCAAGCCGATATCAGCGAAGCAGTGAAGTGGTTGCACACATGGCTCATGTCATTTAATGTCGAAAAGTGCAAAGTCATGCACACCGGGCGCAGCAACAAAAAAAAACACGATACAGTTGAGCAAGTTCAACAATGAGCTACAAAACATATTGCCTCCCTTAAACACCTTTCGGACACACTAAAGAAATAAGAGCACAACTTGTCCGAAACTGCGCTGAAACTTCTTCAGCAACCGTATTGTAAGATTATAGAATTCTTTAACCCAAAATGCGGTGGACGCAAAGAACTTGAACAATTTTAAACACGAACTTTCTCTGTTACGGTATTTTCACTTAAGCTGAAACTGAAAAACTGTAATTTCATAACAGAGAGGCCTGGTGTGCCGCTCTTTGTCAAAAAAAAAAATTTTTAATTTATTTTTGACGATGAATGAATAAACTTAAACCTAAACTGTAAATAAAAACTGATAAGTACTTTATTTCTACTTTCAAATTTATTTCGTGTTCACGCTCGTGTAATTCTTATATTTTCGTTTTCACGCTCATATAATTTTTATATTTTCCTGTTCACCCTGATATAATTCTTATAATCAATATTCAGATATTAGTCATAAGAATGAATTCTTTTTTAACCATGGTTCAAAGCCGCGAGTATACCAAAAATACTTTTTAAGCAATCATAAGTAATTAGGGTTTTAATTTAACGCATAACTAATAAATTAGCAACTAGCTGATGACTAGACTAGCCACTATACCACATGTTGAAAGTTATCAACTGGCCAAGGAAGTTACTTAATGAGCCACTAAGTTATCGATTAGCAAATTCACTACAAAAATGCTAATGAGGCCTGGTCTGCAAATGTAACTAACTAACGCAATAATAAAAGTTACAACAATAGCAATATTGTGAACACAAAAATAAAAAAAACTGTTTAAAGGCAACAGACAATATTAAAGTGAAATTTTAAGTAGAAAGAAATATCCCAATATAAAAAACCAATGAAAAATTACACCTAAAAGGTGTAAAAAGGAAGCGAAAGCCTTTTAGATTAAAAATATCTTCAACGATCTATTAAAACAAAAGAATAGCATCAACAAAAACTTTCACTTATTACAAAAAGAGAAAAAATGATAGCAGATAATAATTTCCAATGCTAGACAAACATTAAACATTAATTGTTGTCAGTTAATTTAAATGTCATTTAGTGGTTTAAAAATCATTATTTGAAAAAAAAAAAAAAAAAAAATCGCAAAAACACAATATTACAGGCTAGGAATTGTTTTTGTTATTAGCATATTTTTTATTGTTTTATCTATTAACTGGTTAATCTTATAATCTACAAAATATTAGAACAATGGAGGTATTAATTTATTATTTGCCATAAAAGTTTATAACAAATAAAAAACAAAATAAAGGTTATCGTATATTTGTTATTATTCATAAATTGTAAAGTAGATAAATATAAAATAAAAGATTTCATTCAAATTTAATCCCAAAAAATCAGGATGATAGTTGACAAGAAATGAACGATATAAACTTTATAAGTATACATTTTAAAGATAGTTTAATAATATAAAATAATAATAAAACTAATGTTTAAAGTTGCTTAATTAATCGATAATATTATAGTTATAAACTTTACTTTTTACATCATAAAGCCTTAATTTATAGATAAAATACCTTTAAATGTAATATTTAAATCTCTTATAGTTAATACGAGTAAAAATAAGAAGATTCAAGAAAAACTTGATAACGAGGGAATATGTTTTTCTCAAAATACCCTAACGTAACTATCCATTTTAAGCGAATGCGAGTTTTAGGTTCTTTTTATTCTTTTGTAAACGTCACTGATAAAAAAAAAAAAAAAAAAAATCTGAATTACAAAATTCGAAAGTTGTCTTAGTCGAAATTTACAATTCTGGGTTGTGCTAGCGTTTTGTCAAGCATATCTTCTAAATAACTTTTTCCATTAATTTATTATTTCGCAAAATATTCATTAAATATATATAGATAATTGAGGGTATTCCTTCGACACCGCAGGTGAAATATGAATTGCTGATATTTCTATTATTTATTAGAAACTAAACATTTTTCCACTGTAAAAGATCCATTTTTGTTTGTTATTAATGATCATGTGTTTGATATTTTACTTAACAAGATTATATTATGGTGCATAAAAGGTTTTAAATTTGTACGAATTTTAACTTTTAACCTTACATTATGTAACAACTAGTTACAATAATATTATTATAGATAATTTTTAATCACAACTAGGTATGTTTTAATTCAATACAAATTTTTCGGGGATTGCCGCATTTATAAAAAAGCAACCTAGAGTTTTCAAATATTATTGTAAAAAATTAAGAGTGAATAAACATACTCTCCTCCCAAAATTATATTGCTCTATTATGTCAATTAGAATATTTATTAGCTTTTGTAAAACTGAGATAACTAAAATTAGTTATTGTATAAGTTGAAGTTTTAAGATAAAAGAAAAAGAAATATTATCGGCAAGTAAACTTTTGAAATAATAACTACACATTAAATTAAAACTATAATTAAATAAAGTTATTTTTATCCTTTAAGTAAAGTTAGTTATAACTAAAATATATGTTAAAATAAATCATATACTTACAATGTTTTTTTTTATATATGTTGTTTTGCTTAAACTTTTTAATTAGTAAATGTAATAAAATTTTACTAATTTTAAATTTACATAAATAAAATAAAAACTTCAGTTTAAAATTTTTTTTTAACCTAAAGTTTTTTTTGTTTATATATATATATATATATATATATATATATATATATATATATATATATATATATATATATATATATATATATATATATATATATATATATATATATATATGTATATATATATATATATATATATATATATATATATATATATATACACACACACACATATATATATATATATATATATATATATATATATATATATATATATATATATATATATATATATATATATATATATATATATAAAAACACACACACACACATATAAAAAAAACCCTCTCAAAGTCCAAACAATTATTATTACACATTTAGAATAGCTCACACCTAGTGCAAATTGGCTAATTAAAGAATTTTAGTAATGCCATTATTGATATCCACAGGTCACTGTTAGTGTAATTATCTCATAAGTATTTATGCAAATTGTCAATATTCTTCTCTCTCTCTCCTACTCTCTCTCTTTCTCCTTCTCTCTCTCTCTCTCTTTTAATATAAGTATATATATATATATATATATATATATATATATATATATAATATATATATATATATATACACGCGTTATTCAAAAAAATAAATAAATGAGGAAGTGTTAATCATGATCACTAAGTTAAGTCAGGGACTAGATGATAGCAAGCGTATTGAAAATAAATTTGTAATCAGCAACATTGAAACATTTTAGGGATCTGAGGTTGAAATTAAGGATAAAGATGATCAGTTAAGAAGAGAAATTTTATCTACACTACAAGTAAATGAAGGAACAACTCCAAAATCATTTAGATTAAAGTCTGGAACACTAGTTTTTTCAGGTTAAGCTTGAAAAAACTAGTGTCCAGCAAGCAATTGAGAAGAGGCAATGAGAAAGAAAAGATAAACTAAATGCAAACATGAAATGCCAGGATAGCATGGGTAGGCATGATGTTAAAAAGTTGTGGCAAGAAATGGAGTTATGAAAAAAACAACAGTAGAGCTATCAGACCTTTTTACAACAAGGTCTACCATAAGTACCTGAACAACACTAGAACCTCAATTTAAAATCCAGAGTTGTTAACAATTAATGAACATCATAGTTTTCAATACTAAGCATGTCCATCCAACTATCTGTAACAAAAACACCATCTCTATAACTATCAAAAATAAATCCAGCAGTAATAGTAATTATACAGTCTTAAGTGACAACTGATCTGACTCATATGGTGGCGTTCCAATTTATATACAAAAAGATATACAAGCATCCTATTTTAATGCGTTTAGCTCCATGATAAAATACCAGGCCAGGTATGATGTATAATATCTCACAAAAATCGGAAATTCCTTTAAGGATGTATTTATCAAGAGCCATCTGCAAATATATAACTCAACAGAACAATTAATTGTAGTTTAATTTCTGTAAATATAGCAAAGAAAAAAGTTTTGGAGTAACAAATAATTGGTGGTTTCAATCACCCCTAAAATACAGTGGGCGGCAACTGATGGCAGCACTAAAAAAATGCAACTATGTTGAGCACTGGCAGCTCAATTAAAAGTGATTTCCATTGCACCCTTACATTGGAGTTTCTTTATTTGAATCATCAGTCTCCCTTAAGGGATGATTATTCTCTTTTAAGAGAGACTGATGATTCAAAAGAAACTTTAAGTTATTAAAAAATAAAAAACAAAAATTTAAACATAACTTAAGTAGAGGCGACTACAAAAAGCTAAAAAAAAAATTTCACAGATGCAAATTGGAGGAAATAACTTAAAAAATTCAAAAACAATCCCATTATGATAAACTAACCCATTGAGTAAAACTCGCTGAGTTGGTTTATAATTTGAAGGAAATTTAATAAGTTGGTTTTTTAAGTTGTTTCCTCCATTATGGATTTGCAAAAAAATTTGTTTAGTTATTTATAGTCACCTCTACTTTAGGTTTGGTTATTAAAAACAACCTGTTGAGGGTAAAATTACATAATAGTATTATTATAGGTTAAATCAATAAAAAAACAATTAAACATAAACAACATAAATAACATGTGTTTATTATAAAGAATAACAGCAGTACAACATTTTAACTATGAAAATATCAAGAGTAATTCTATTTCCAATGACCCAGAAATTTTTTAAACTGTCACCCTATATCTTAGATTTTGCTGATTTTTATACAGTTAGGAGTACTTAGTAAATTAAGTATTTCTTGAAAGTTTCAGTTTCTGGCTACAAGAAAATCCCTGAAATATGACCATTTTTTAGTAAACATTGTCAGGCCCCTCTTAACCTCTCAAAATTACAATGTTTGTTTAGAGGTTTCAAGTTCCATAACTTTAAAAATGTTTGATCTTTTTATTTATTTAATTGTTTATATGCTCCTTGAGATTCAACACCATGTTGAATCTATTATGAGCCCATGCTAATTTTGAGTTTTAAACATATTCATGAGTTTTGTAATATTCATAAAGATCAGAGTTTTATAATATGTTTATCAAGCTTGTTTTTCAAGATTTTTACACTTTTTTTCAGAAATAATTTCTTCTGGTAGTTTATTCCACCATTTTGCAACTCTGTCAGAAAAATTTCCCTTGGTTTATTTTATAAGCTCAATATGTACTCGTTCTTTATGTCCTCTAATTTTTGCAGCTGGACCATTTGCTGAGATAGAAATTGCTGCTTTTGTTTGTTGATACCAAAACACTTTGTCCAATTTATGAAAAGTTTTATAATATTGAATTAAATCATATCTTAATCTCAATTGGTTTTTAAAGAAGTTAGTTGGAGTTTTTTTAGCCTTTACATATATATAGTATTGCATGGTAGTCAGAAAGTTTTCCCCATAAACTGTAGTTTTAAAGAGCGCGTTAATAAACCAGACCAGAAAAAGTTTAAAAACTTGAATTTTTTTTTTAATTTCTCAAATGATAGACTGCCTGCCCAAACCAAACCTTCAGTCGATGTAGCAGCCCTTTAAAAGAACTTCAAAAGAACTTAACACACTTTAAAAGAAACTAGTAAAATCTAGTAAAAGGAACATAGAAAAACTAAAAGGGAATAAAGGAATAATAAATTTTTGTTACAAATAGAGGAATAATAAATTTGTAAAAACTTGTGTTTTTACAAATTTACTAATCCTCTATTTGTAAAATAAACTTAGTTAATAAGCTTTTGGATGTATGAAAGATGGTTATTGAATTTAATCAATTGTCATATTTTCGAAACAATTTTTCAAGCATTTGCAAAGTGCGTGCAAATTATTGATTTTTAATATGCAATGATTGTAAACTGTTATTCAACAACTTTTTTTTTTTAATTTAGTTTGTTAAATTTATTTACTCATAAAATATACGTACAAACGTGAAGAAATTAAAACAACAAAATAAATAAACAAAAAAATAAAGCGCAAAATGACGTCTCTAATATTTATATATTAATTTTTACATTTTTATAAATGGATTTAAAAATTGCTAGAAATTTTTTATTTATGGCCTTCCAAATGTTTAATACCAACTGCTGCGTCAATCCAATTTTTGACATGTTTTTGGGGCAAAAAGTCTTCAATTAACTGGCTATCAAGCTTTATGCTCATAATATCTTCTGAGGTATTATCATTTAATGACGTTCGCAAAATATTTTTTTGTAAGTTCATACAAGAAAAAGTGCGTTCGCAACTTGCCGTTGAAGCGCTGAATGTTAGCATAATCTCTAACAAGACGTTTATACTTGCCAATTCAGGTTTATTTTCCAGCATGATATCTTTATAAATGCTTAAAAATGAATTTATCCTTAGTTTAGAGACTTTCTCCCTAAATAAAGGCCACTGCAATACACATAAGTTAGAAGTTTCTCTGCTTATCATATTATTGTTCTCATAAAAGTTGCAAACACTTTTTATTTCATTAAATCCCCATTTTTTTTATCTCTAGCGAACCTGTAAAGGATTTTGGCCATTTTCAACAATCAAGATTGTAGTTAATGATTTTGATGGTTCTTGATTGAAATCGCGGCGGAATCACTTGTCTATATACTCTTTTGCTCCGTCAATAATTTTAATAAAATATTTTTTATTATAATAATTGAAATAATTATTTGGTTGTTGTCTAACTCATCAATTCTCTTTAAATTTTTTTTTAATGCTGTTAAATCAATACCTTTGTAGATTAACTGATCTTCTTTTATTTCTAAATTATCTAGTAAACGTCCAATATTCGAGCCTGGATTTACTGATAACGCGTCTAGTACAGCAATTCTTGCATCAACTTTACCCAAAGTCTCACAAATTAAAATTTCTTCATTTTGAAACTCCA